CTTGGTTAGTCATTGTTTGAATTCTCTAAATTTTGAAATTGGAGAAGAAGTTATGCGCTGAGAAAGGGTATGGTGTTGGGAGTACCGAGTATTTTGGTTTAGTTTGTTCACATCGGTCTTCAATTGCGAAAATTCGAACTGTTGTCATTATTGGTGAATACTCCAAACACAAAACAAGCACAGAACACCGGAAGGCAATAAGCGCACGCAAGGCACGACGAAGGCAAATCGAAATCGGTGAAAATCTGAAGATCACATTGGCGGCGCGCACAGTACTTAACTCTTAGGGAACCGTGGCTGCAGATGAGAGGTAGGTTACGTAGAATAACCGACGCGCTGGCAGACATTGCACTAGAATTTTTGGTGGTAACAGTGATGCGCGAAGTGAATGTCGAGTGAATTTTGGAAGATCAACGAGGAACATGTCGCACATCACAAGGTCGTGCGTGGCCATGTCATGGCCGTGCTATTTCAGTACCGGCTTCGGCAATACGCTATCGGGGCTCCGCCACAGGCACAGGAACCGTTGGGCGAGGGATAGGGGCGAGTTGGGCGTATTGGGATCCCCTGGGATCGCACGGGCAGAGCGCCGAACACAATGCCGTGATAAATGAGGACTAGATAATTTGGGTTATTGGGACTTCGGAGTTGTGTGGCTCCGGGTAATCCGATTGTTATGGTCCGGTTCACCAATGTCAAAGGGGCAAGCCCCCCTGCGCGTTTATTTAATGAACTGGTCAGAGTAACAAGATTATTTTGGTAAATGAATATAGTAATGTGAATGAGGTAAGTGAAATACGGGGCCAATTGTTTTTGTTTGGATGTGTGCGGTGAGGGGCTCTGCCGATAGATTCATCTGGGGGATCGAGGAGCGGCCATTCCCTCAGGAGGGCGGGTCAAGGCCACATCCGGGAAGAGCGGAGCAGTTTAGATTGCGCTCTGCCGAGCTGTCGAGATAGAGCCGTTGGCAAAAACAGTCGCGAAAGTCGGTGGCTTGTTCGGAATCGCCTTTTCCAAAAATGTGTGTCGCGTTCAGAAGTGTTTTGTGACATGACAGATGTGTTAAAGTCTTTACACGTGGAATGATGCGTTATGGCCGTGCATTATAATTGGGCAAAAAGTGGTACGGGCAGAAAAGCATTCTGTGGGGGTAATTTTGCGGAGATTGCTCTAAAATCTGTACGTTAGCAGCCGAAGACTCGCGAACTACGGACAGTGGGTGCCGGAAAGGATAATACTTTCGGGACTATGAGGATGGTCACGTGTAATAGGTAGTGGCTGAGATCTTTTTCCAGTTTTTCCTCCTCAGAATTCGAGTATTCGGAAGGTGTGCAAGGGCAGAACCATTCTCTACGAAGAATGGTCGCAATAAGGTATTTCTAATGATAGGACGTTTTGGTGTGGGGATAGACGGACGAAAGGATATCATTGGCGGATTCATGATGGTATGAATGTCTTTGGGGGAAAATGGATCGAGAGAAACAATAATGAAAAGATGAAGAAAATATGCATAAGACTTGACGGATTGAAGTATTGCTGGGAGATGCTAGATGGGACGGTGCTCCTTGGGGGCGAAAATGATATCCGCTCAAGGTGTCGATGCTATGCTGTCTGTCTGGTGTGGGTGGGAAGATTGGAAGGTAGTGGGAAATACGAATATTAAACAGAGGGAGTCATCGTTGGACTACCACAGATA